GCCTCCTCCTGCGGTCAGCAATACTAGGGTTCTGGGGTTTAGGGTTTAGGGTTTAGGGTTCAGGGTTTGGGGTTTCGGGTTTGGGGCTTCGGGCTTCTGATGCTCCAGGGTTTAGGGCTCTAGCCTGCATGGGTTTCGGGGCTTTAGTCGAACTATCCTTATAAAAAAGTGAGACAACGAAAATATTCCCCCGCACTTCGCGATGGTGTGGATGAAGTCTGAACTTCTCAACATGGTGACGAGCCTTTCCAAGGCAAACGGTATTGCTCCTTTGCTGGTTGCCCCTGCATCAATAGTAGGGCCCCTAAACCACCCTAAACCCTAAACCCTAAACCCTAAACCCCAAACCCCAAACCCTAAACCCTAAACCGCACACCCTAGTTAGGGGTCCTAGGTTCTGGAGTCGGGGATCCATGGCTCACGAGACTGAAAGCAGGGCCCCCACGTACTTCACTGACAAGAGTGTGCCTTTTTGGGTTTAGGGTTTAGGGTTTAGGGGTATCCTTCCCTGGCTGTATCCTTAGTTTCTGGGGATCCTTTGTAAGGGTCCTCAAGGTAGTATAGGGGCCATATTGAAGTATCTTAAGGGCCCTAAAGTACAACCTTTGGGGTACGAGTCTTAATCCCTTGAGGGTAGCTACATCGTCCCTTGCTATGGGCCCTTAAAAGGGGACTCCTTATCGAAGCCTCATGTACCCTACACAAACTAAGGGCCCGTACATCAGAACCCTTTCAGGGAGGTAAGGGACCATACTGAGGCATGGGAGCCCAGGAGCCATATTACCCAAAGAGCCCAATATTGCTTAATTAAGGAATATACCTAAAATCATATTAGGGATCCTTGATATGATTTCAGGAATATTCCTTAGTTAAGCAATATTGGGCTCTTTGGGCCATGTAACTACCCCTTAGGGTTTAGGGTTTAGGGTTTAGGGTTTAGGGTTTAGGCTTTAGGGTTTAGGGTTTAGGGTTTAGGGCATCTTCGAGAGTGCTCGGGGGTCTTGGTTTTGCCTACATCCCACGGTGACGGACCCCTTACTCTCAACATTGAACTTTTCTAGGGTAGCTTTCCAAATGAGGTCCCCTTTTGTGAGGTCCGTACAGGGTCCCTTTTTGCGTCCTTATTATCAAGGTGCGGCATTATATGGACCCAAAACGGAACCCAAATACAGAGAACTACTTTGCCAGGGAGGGGGTCAAGACGCGCTCCAAGTGGCGGTCCCCCCAAGAAATAACCCACAAGGGCTCAAATGTGGGTAGGTCACCCAGCATTCATACCCTAAACCCTAAACCCTAAACCCTAAACCCTAAACCCTAAACCCTAAACCCTAAACCCTACACCTGCTGCACGCTAAACCCTGCCTGGCCTCGAGAGGCTTGCTGCGGACCGGTTCCTTGGACGCTTTCGAGGCTGGCGGCTCCCCTGGCATGGGGTTTAGGGTTTAGGGTTTAGGGTTTAGGGTTTAGGGTTTAGGGTTTAGGTTTAGGGTTTAGGGTTTAGGGTTCAGGGTTCAGGGTTGTCGGGCCATGCGAGGGTGTTCGGGTTTGGGCTTGTGGGTGCGGGTGCAGCGGTTTTCTTGTGGCCTTGCTCAACCATGCTGCAAGTAGCCCTTGATAATGGCAGGGTTTAGGGTTTAGGGTTTAGGGGTACCGCTCGGGGTATTGAAGGTATCCAGGCCGGGGCCTGGGTTTCGGGTTAAGGGCCCTGATTGGAGTTCCCGGTAATCGTGTTTGGGGTTTCGGGCGGGGGTGAAGGGTTTAGGGTTTAGGGTACTTCTTGCGCTGGACCTGGTAAGGCCCTGGGTTTTCGGGTGCTGGCCGGGATTTAGGACCTAGGCCTTAAGCAACCCTGAGGCCTCAAAAGCAGAGCTACTCGATGTTGGGGCTGTCTAGGGCGTTTAGCATAACCTCGCAGGCTGGTTGTGGTTTATTGGGTTGAAAAAGTGACCCTAAGTCCTATAAACCTTAAAGCCCTAAACCCTAAACCCTAAACCCTAAATAACCTAGCAGGTAGCAGGCTGGTTGTGTTTTATTGGGTTTAAAAGGTGACCCTAAACCCTAAGCCCTATAAACCTTAAAGCCCTAAACCCTAAACCCTAAACCCTAAACCCTAAACCCTAAACTAGGCTATTATCAAGAGCTACTTCCTGTAGCTGCCTCCTCTTGTCTTCTTCTTGGGGTAGAAGGGCAAAGGGGGTTGGGGGCGGTCACTGAATATGTCATCCTCTGAGCTCTTTAGCGTTTAGGGTCCAGGGTTTAGGAATCCTAAACCCTAAACCCTAAACCCTAAACCCTAAACCCTAAACCCCAAACCCCAAACCCTAAACCCCAAGAGGTTGAGGGTTGGGGCTTCAGGGATGCAAAGTCTTTTGGGGGTTGAGCGCCGCAGGTGGTTGAACGGAACTCTGGCGACTTGTGTACTCAAGAAGACCAAGGGCAGGCTACGTAACCCTAAACCCTAAACCCTAAACCCAAAACCCTAAACCCTAAACCCCAAACCCTAAACCCTAGAGGGATTGAATCGAAGCTGGAGGTCAACCCTAAACCCTAAACCCCAAGAGGTTGAGGGTATATAAACCCTAAACCCTAAACCCTAGAGTGTTGGGCATGTTTTTTCCGCACGCCGGGGGCTCTGGTCGGCGACTTCACCGACGGCCTGAACCCTAAACCCTAAACCCGAGACCTCAAAACCCCTAAACACTAAACACTAAACACTAAACGCTAAACCCAAAAACCCGTAAACCCTAAACCCTAAACCCCTAAACCCCTAAACCCTAAACCCCCCTCGCAAGTGCACATGCCCAGGCTCCGGGTTGAGAACCCCAAAGCCCTGGGCAGCCTTCTTGCAGGAAGCGTTTGGGTAAAATACCCCCAAATGCACCCTCATGGCGGTCGGTTCAGGGTTTAGGGTTTGGGGTTTAGGGTTTAGGGTTTGGGGTTTAGGGTTTAGGGGTAGACCCAGGAGTAACCTAGGAATAAAAAGGCTGCCCTTTTTGGCTTCAAGGGGCTTATAAGAGAACCTAAAACCTGAAAAAGGGAATAAGGGCCTACTCCGGGGCTTAGACTCTCACTTCTTCTCCCAGACGCAGATGCACCGCACCTGGTGCCAGGACGCACAGTTAAGCTTGGGTTTGGGGTTAGGGTTTAGGGTTTAAGTAGGGTTTAGGGTTTAGGGTTTAGGGCTTAGGGCTTAGGGTTTAGGGTTTAGGGTTTAGGGTTTAGGGTTTAGGGTTTAGGGTTTAGGGTTTAGGGTGTGTAAATTCTATACGCCTGAACTATGCCGAAGTCCGATCGGTCCGAACTCAAGGGGTATCAGGAGGCACCCCTAGATGAGACCCTTAGTCTTATTCCCCTATGTAACCCCTATGTATGCCTTACAGAGTCTCCATGTACCTAAGTAGCCCAAACATGAACCCCAAATAACCCCTGTAGTCCCTTGTGTCCCTCCCTTAGTCCCTTGACGAACCCTAAAACCCAAACATCCCCAAACCCCTAACATCCCTAAACCCCTAACATCCCTAAACACCTAACACCCGAAACACGTAATACCCTAACACCCCTAAACCCCAACACCCTTAACCCCTAATATTCCTAAACACCTAAACAAACACCCTACACACATCTAAACGCCTGGACTCCCAGCCCTACATCCCAAAATCCCGAAAGTGACCCTAACACCTAAACCCTAAACCCTAAACCCTAAACCCTAAACCCTACAGAAAGGACCAAACCCCTAAGCCCTGAGGTTTGGGGGGTTCCGGGATTTGTTTTCGTGGATTTGGTGGCTGATGCTTTTTGGGGTTTGGGCTGGTTGGGTTCAGGCTTTGGGGTTAGGGGTTCAGGTAGATTGGGGTTTGCGGTTTGGTTTGCGCTTGGGGTTTAGGGTTTCCCGAAGAGCCCAATATTGCTTAATTCAGGAGTATACCTTAAATCATATTAAGGACCCCTAATATGATTTAAGGTATATTCCTTAATTAAGCAATATTGGGCTCTTTGGGTATACGGTTTGGAGATTGTTCACCATGACGGCCGCCAAAGTGGTGCGGACACGTCTTTCCCGCATGATCGCCCCCCTGGGACCCTTGATTTACTCACTGCCCTTAGCGGACTGGCAACCTAAGCTCTACCCCTAAACCCTAAACCCTAAACCCTAAACCCTAAACCCTAAACCCTAAACCCTGAACACGTACAGCTCAATTTTGTGCCCACCCAAGCCTAGATAGACGCTAAACCCTAAGCCTGAACCTTAAACCCTAGCTAGACCCTAGACCCCTCACCAGCCCCAAATACCCCAAAGTCGCCTTTAAACTTCAACCCATGAGCCTCAACAGTCCAAGAACCCAAAGAGCCCAATACCTGGAACGCCGTAGTTGCTGCTTTTTTGCAGCAACTATTGAAAGTGGCAGGAATTTCGATCACTTAGCAAAAGTGGCCAGAATTCCTGTCACTGGCAAGTTAACAGTGATTGCCCATCAGAAAGTGGCGTAAACAAGGCGTAAAAGTGGCGTAAAAAAGCGTAAAGTGGCGTAAAAAAACGTAGACAATGTATGGGTAAAACCTGCAACTTTGCAGTGGCTGGTTTTAAGCGTCAAAAGCGGCACTTTCAATAGTTGCCACAAATTATTGGCAACTAGGCTTTCCAGGTATTGCTTAAATAAGGAATATTCCTTAAATCATATAGGAGTCCTTAATATGATTTAAGGTCTATTCCTTAATCAAGGGATATTGGGCTCTTTGGGAAATACTCCTTGGTAGGCCCTTGGAAGGTTGGCTACTTTGTAAGGGAACAGAACCTGACAAGGGAAAGGGTGCCACCGGGCTACTACTACCAAGACTCTCATCCTGAAATCCCAAAGAAACCCCTATAAACCCTAAACCCTCCTAAACCCTAAACCCTAAGCCCCAAACCCAAAACCCTAAACCCTAAACCCTAAGCCCCAAACCCAAAACCCAAAACCCTAAACCCTAAGCCCCAAACCCAAAACCCTAAACCCTAAACCCTATAAACCCAATCCAGCCTCCATCGACTCTCTGTCTTCAGCATCGCTAGGGCTGGACGGGTCGTCAAAGGCCGAGTGTAGCGTAAAGGGCGCCCGGTCGCCTCCACTCACGCACTTGCTTAGGGTTTAGGGTTTCGGGTTTCGGGTTTAGGGTTTAGGGTTTAGGGTTTAGGGTTTAGGGTTTAGGGATGCAATTCCAAGCGGGAGAGGTGGGGGGACATTTGGTCCGGGCCTGTTACCCCTAAAGCCCCTTGAAGGTTGAGGCTTTTGGGGGTTGTGGGGTTCAAGGGTCAAGGGATTTCGGGGTTTTCAAGAAAGCTGCGAACCGCACCGTGAACCGGAACCAAACCGCCAGGCACCGCACGCAGACGCACGCACGCACACATGCACGCACGCACGCACACGCATGCACACATGCACCCACGGACACACAGACACATCCACCCACACACACACACACACACTTACCTAGGGTTTAGGCTTTAGGGACTTAGGGTTTCGGGTTTAGGGTTTATTACACCTCTGAAATCCAAAAAATAGCAACCCCTCTCCCCAGGTCGAAGCAGGTGCTGCTTCGAAAGTTACCTATGGTGCTCGTCAACCCTTATTGCCCTAACCCTTGCAAGACCCGAAAATTCAAAGCCCTAAAACCCTAAAGCCTGAACCCTAAACCCCAAACCCCAAACCCCAAACCCCAAACCCTAAACCCTAAACCCTAAACCCGAAACCCGAAACCCTAAACCCTAAACCCTAAACCCCAAACCCTAAACCCTAAACCCTACCAAAGCCCTAAAACCCACAAAACCCAACCCCAGGCCTCCCGACAAAGTTCCTTCTGAGTCCCACTGCTTCAGAAGCAGCACCTCCCACACGTCTTCGTCGTGGGCTGAGGAGTATGTTAAAGTCTAGGGTGGGCTAAAGGCTTAGGGCCTTAGGGCCTTAGGGCCTTAGGGTTTTAAGGCTTTAGGGCCTTAGGGCCTTGGGGCCCTAGGGCTTCGGGTTGAAGGGCCTTGGGGCCTTAGGAGTTAGACACCCACAAGCTCATGTGTCATGGGACCCGTCTCCTCCAACAAAAGGAATAAACCCTAAACGCTAAACCCTAAACCCTAAAAGCCCCAAATTCTAAACCCTACACCCTAAACCTTAAACCTGGGATGGAGGAAGGTCGATCGCGAGCGTGCTTCGTAGAGCACTCTCCCCCGCAGGCTAATGGATCCAGGACATGTTGCCACCCCGCTTTTTGGCGAGCTTTTGGGAATTCGGGGAACTGGACATAGTCTAGGGTTTAGGGTTTAGGGTTTAGGCACAGGGTCCCGGGCCTGGGAGCTTCAGGATTTGGAGAATGCGGAAACGCAGGAAGAAATCGCTACTTACGAGTAGCATGAAGGGGGTCGTCTTTTTTTGGATATGCATGTATATATTCATCCATGACGTACAGTGGAGGAGGTGATGTCACAGAACAAGTGCATTAGCATCGCAGCCAGTCTTGAGGCTATAATAACCACGTCTATTGAGGTAACTTCGCCGAAGGACTGCGCTACCCAACCTGCTGAGAGGGGTTTAGGGTTTAGGGTTTAGGGTTTAGAGTTCAGGGTTTAGGGCGACGACAGCCGGAGGATCGTGAAGAGTTTGTAAGCATGCCCATTTAACAAAATGAGGTGCATGTGTGCTCGCTCCGATTGGACACGAGTACGGCTTGATGTCTCTGTGCATAGTAGTCTGTACCCCCTGATTGCATTGTATACAGTAGGGATGATGCATTTACCAATTTAGGGTTTGGACCTGCAGAACCCTCTTTCTAAAACTGTCCGGCCAGCTGCAGAGTATCACGCACCGCCCTGAACCTCTGAATGCTAGGGTTGAGGGTTTACGGAACTAAAAGAAGAATGGTGGAACCCCAAAAAATGCTTGCATGCAAACATACATGCATACATACATGCATGCATACATACATGCACACATACAGACATACAGACAGACATACATATATACATACTGAACAGGATTTGAGAAGTAAAAAACATTGAAAGAAACGGAATACAAAAAGGAACACCAGGATTCTAGTAGACATTGTACAAGTCATGTTGGGATGTTCCCCCTTTTACTAGCAGTCCTTAATAGTGTTCCCCCTTTTACTCACAGTCCTTAATAGGGACTATAATCGGGGCTACTATCATCCATATGGAGGACTGTGAGTATAGGGGGGAACATCCCACAAGTAATGTGTGAACCCTATTGATCTGCATACATACACATGCCCACCGACAATCAAAATGCCAGGGAACCTGGATCCCCCCCTTTCTGAATTAAGGACACTGCAATTCCACTATGTATCTTACTCCCAATATAAAACAAAAAAAACATGTAGCCTAAACCCTAAACCCTAAACCCGAAACCCTAAACCCTAAAGCCTAAACCCTAAGCCCTAAGCCCTAAGCCCTAAACCCTAAACCCGAAACCCTAAACCCAAAACCTAAGCCCTAAGCCCTAAGCCCCAAGCCCCAAGCCCCAAGCCCTAGCCAGCCTCATCTTTCTTCATGTTCGGGTAGTAGTACCTCAAAGAGACAGGGGAGTCCCTACACCCTCAAGGCGCTCCGCGGCGCAGTTCGTAGAGGCTGCGCGGTTTGCAGGGTTTAGGGTTTAGGGTTTAGGGTTTTAGGTGTGTAGGCTTTCAGGATTGGGGAAAGCTGAACTTCTGAACCCAAACCTCAAACCCGAAAGCAGGTCAGGGTTGCGGGCTTCGGGCTTCAGGCTTAGGGTTTAAGTTTGGGGTTTAAGGTTTAGGGGAACGGGTCGAGGGGCTAGAGTCCTACACCCTACCTGGGGGGGGCGGGGTGGGGCTCTCCAATTATAGTTTGGGGCCTTGCATGTACGGTGCCCAAACAACGCCCATATGAGGCTGAGCTTTCGGGCACAAAGTTTGGCATTCAAATGCAGATAACAGTCCACAAGGGTCTCGAAGCTCCAGCCACCTCAAACTGCCTAATGGCCCACAAAATCCTGAAGACATAGGCGCACTGGTTTAGGGTTCAGGGTTTAGGGTTCAGGAATGGTCTCTATCGTTGTCAAGGAGGCGCACTACGCAACGGTTGGCATAGGGGCATCGAAGGGAAATAGTCGAAAACTCCAACAAGGAAGCCCCTAGCATATGAGCCTTGTATAACTACTATAGAACACTTGGTAGAGGCCTCCATTAAGGTTGATGCCTTCTCTGCTTGCATCGTAGGTTCACGGTTAAGGGTTCAAGAGGGTTTAGGGTTTAGGGTTCGGATGTTCCCCCTTACACAAACGGGGTTCGTAATAGGGATGATGATAGGGGGTAGTAAGGGCTGTTAGTATACGGGGGAAACATCCCAAGTGTAGGGCTTAGGGTTTAGGGAATTTAGGGTTTAAGGTCTAGACCGACAAGTCAGCAGGTAAATAAAAACGTTAAACCCTAAACCCTAAACCCTAAACCCTAAACCGTAAACCCTAAACCCTAAACCCTAAAACCCTACACCCTACACCCTAAACCCTAAACCCTAAACCCTGACCCCCAGTTAAAGAAGCTTGGGCTGCGACCATCGATGTTCGGGCGAGCCCACAGCGAAGTAGTTCTCGCCCACCCGATCCGTGTAGTGAATCCTTTGATAATAGGGTTTAGGGTTTAGGGTTTAGGGGCTTAGGGGCTTAGGGGCTTAGGGGCTTAGGGTTTAAGGGACTTAGGGTTCTAAGGGAGGGTTTAGGGTTTAGGGAGCCGAGAGGGGATCCTTACTCCTACCTAACTCAGACCTCACTACAATCCCTATATACCCCTATACAACCGCTAAACCCCAGAGACAAATATCCCTTACAAGGGTGCCGTACCCATGCACACTGATGATGGCAGGGCTTCAGAGTGTGTTTGCAAGATTCAGGCTCAGGCTTGAAAACTTGGTAGCCCAGTAGCCGTATTGAAATATGGGTACCCTTTTTGGGGTTGGTTACTTGATAAGGGGACCTTGAGCCAAAACAAGGGGACTCCACTGGGCCACCAAAAAAAGGGACCTTAACCCTAAACCCTAAACCCTAAACCCTAAACCTTTGAACAATGAACACTGCATCCAAACCTTCTGGTACCTGAAAAGGGTTCTGGGGTTCAGGGCTGCAGGATTCATGGCTGTTCTGCAAGGGGGTTGCAAGGATGTTGGCGTCTGGGGGCCCAAAACTGCTTACACCCGGAAGCCACAAAAACATACACAGCAAAAAAAACCTAAACCCTGAATGCTAAACCCTAAACCCTCAACTCTAAACCCTGGACCCTGAACCCTAAACTCTGAGCCCTGAACCCTAGACCCTAAACCCTAAACCCCAACTCGCAAATGCAGCTGTGGGACTCAAAGACGCACAGGTCCTCCGGTGAAGCAGTGCGCGCGTCGCAGCACGCGAGCGGGTACACCTCCACTGGCCTCAGCTCTCTCTGGGGTAGCATGTGTGAGCCTAATGAGGGTTTAGTGTTTAGGGTTTAGGGTTTAGGGTTGCGGGGGAGTGTTTCTTCGAGTCCAGATCCTCCTCGTTGCCTAAACTCTCCGGCCGTGGGGGCACCCAACATGCATGAGCCTGCTGCGCTGAACCCCTTTTTTGATTCTCGTAGGAGCACTAATTGAATAGCACCGTGCGTTCCATCTTGGCGGCAGGTGCGAAATTGTTCTTCTTATTGGTGAGTGAGGGGGGCGGGGTAGGGCTTTGTTAGGCCCATGTCGCAGGAGATGGCTGCGCCAGAGATGGCGGTCCTGCAGTTTTGACATTCTTTTTTCCAGCCTGCTAAGCATGGGTCATTGGTGTTTGTAACGTTACAGCCTACAATCGATGTCAACAGGGTTTTCAAGATGGGGGGGGGGTTCATTTCCTTGTCGAAACTTTTCTCCCGTGACTTTTGAAATTTAGCACCCTAAACCCTAAACCCTAAACCCTAAACCCTAAACCCTAAACCCTAAACCTAAACCCTAAACCCTAAACCCTAAACCCTAAACCCTAAACCGGGCCTGGAAGGGAACCTAGGTTTCCAAGCGCACCTCGAAGAAATCCAGGAACAAAAGGGCATGAGGGCCTACTCTGGGTCCCCTACACCCTAAACCCTAAACCCGAAACCCTGAACCCTACGCCTGAACCCAAAAAGTATTTCAGGCCGCAGGCCCTGCCAAAAGCAGAAGTGGGCATCACGTGGGGTCCAAGCTTTAGACACAAACCTAAGCCCCCAAACCGCACATCCTAAACCCTAAACCCTAAACTCTCAATCCCAAACCGCTGAAGACCTCAGGCCCTAAACCCCCCAAACCCCGATGAACCCTAAACCTTCAGCTTGGCCCTAAGCCCGAAACCCTGAACTCGGCTGCCTTCTGAACCCCTCCTAAAAGTCTAACCTTAGGCTCCTTATTGTAGTCGCTTCAAAGACCCAGAAGGTTAAAGTATTCTGAACTTGGAACCCTAGCAATTTGTTTGCTGTTTCTTAGGAATTACAGTACCCAAAACTTAACCATGATTTCCAAGTATCCCGAAGTAAACCCCTCAAACCCCCAAACCACTACTTGCCTAAGACTCCCGCGAAAGTGAAAGATTCTACTCCCCAGATTACCCTTTTGGGGAAGAATATATACATATATATATATATATACACATACACATACACATACACATACACATACACATACACATACACATACACATACACATACACATACACATACACATACACATACACATACACATACATACTTCTGTTTCTCTTTCTTTTTTTTGGGGGGGGGGATCCTCAAACAAGCAAAGAGTCGCCCTAGAACCTAAGTACCAAACCCGAACCCTACACCCTAAACTCCCTAAACTCCCGAAACTCCCTAAACTCCCTAAACTCCCTAAACTCCCTAAACCCTAAACCCTAAACCCTGTAGCAAACACTTGGAGGGATTTCGTCCCAGCTGCTTGTCACGGATGTTTCTCCATAGGTTGATGATTGCCCAACCTCTATAGGGTTTAGGGTGTAGGGGGGTCAGGATTTAGGTTATGGGGTTAAGTTGTTGAGGGTTTAAGAGTTTGAGGTTTGAGGACTTGGGCTTTAGGGTGTGAGGGTTGAGGGTGAATGGTTAAGGATATTGGGGAAAGCCCTAACTAAACCAAACCGAAACCCCTGAACCCTGAACTCTCAACCCTAAACCGTGAATGAACGCTGCGTGGTCAAGGGCTTGGGGTTGAGGGCTTGGTTTTGGGGTTGGCTTTGGTTTTGAGTGTAAAGCTTCCGAAAGGGACCCCTTACCTTCTTAAACCCCATCAGGGGAGCATGTTATAAATCTTGCAAGGGTTCGGACCCGAAACGGGGCTCAAAGGTCAGGATTTGGGAAGTCGGGAATCAGCCTCCCTAAAACATCCCTTGGAGCTGAACCCTAAGCCCACCCCAAACCCTAAACCCCAAACCCTAAGCCCCAAACCCCCAAAAGTTCAACTCAGCACGTGCACTGCCCTCCCCTAAACCCTACCCTAAACCCTAAACCCTAAACCCTCTGGTTCCCCCAACTGAGAGTTTCCAATCAGTCCAATCCTCCCCAAGCCCTGAACTGATTACGGGGTTAGGGGTTTTGGGGTTTAGGCGTGCAGGAGTCTAGGGTTTAGGGTTTGACGTTTAGGGTACTTTAAAGATCGATGTTAGGGGCCCGGGTCAGGCTTGCGCGCTGATAGGTTACAACTGAATCTCACAGCTTCCAAAAGGGAAGTGCACCAAAATGGGCCGAATGAACACCTCCGCCAAGTTGCGGCCCTCGTTGCCCGCCTGGGCTGGGTAGGGTGTTTGGGGCGCCTCAACCCTAAACCCTAAACCCTAAACCCCAAACCCTAAAAACCCTGACTGGCCCCTAAAGATTCACAGAACCCTTTTCAGGTACCAGAAGGTTTGGATGCAGTGTTCAGGGTTCAAAGGTTTAGGGTTTAAGGTTTAGGGTTTAGGGTTTAGGGTTTAGGGTTTAGGGTTTAGAGTTTTAGGGTTTAGGGTTTAGGGTTTAGGGTTTAGGGTTTAGGGTTTAGGGTTTAGGGTTTAGGGTTTAGGGTTTAGGGCTCGAAATTTACAACAAACGCTTATGTCATGCCCAAGTCATGAGGCATCTTCCCCTCAAACATACCTAAGCCCTGCCTTTGCCCGTTTCGGCAATGACCGCATACGTTTAGGGTTTAGGGTTTAGGGTTTAGGGTTTAGGGTTAGGGTTTAGGGTTTAGGGTTTAGGGTTCAGGGTTTTAGGGATCCCGGGAGTTCAATAGCATCTCTTTGCTTGACCAAATCGAGCTTCTCCTTGGCGAACTGTATCTGCAACACCTACAGCAAAACCCCAATGACCGCAAGACATATCTGGCCGTTCAGTTTGTTGCGTTTTCGATGGTTCAGGGGGAAAAGGCCTAGGTGAGCCCAGAGACCAAGCCGCTCGCCCTTGCTTCATCGCTTCTTCTATTAGCAAGTCGAACTTCTTCACATACCTATCTTTGCACTCCAGATCTCAACGAAACCGATAGCGACCACACCTCATCTGACCCACCTAGAGTCCAAAGCGGAAGGCCAGCCGGCAGCGACCTGACTCACTTCTTGCTCTTGACCACGTCAAGCTTTGTTGTCGCACCTCAGGCGTGTGGCTGTTACCCACGCCTGCAGGCAGCGGTGGCGGTTTGCAGCATTAGCAGAGCCCCCCTTGTCCCACGAGGATGTGACATGGTTGCGAGGCATGCCTTTCTCTGCATGGTCCAAGAAAGCAGTGAGCGGATGCCCTGTCTATAGTGTCCAAAGCGCTGCAACACGGGCAGGGGTGTGGGCTGGGCTCATCCGACATCATGCGTACTCCCTGCGGAGGCTTCTGGGTTTCGGTTCCGGATCGCGTCCAGCAAGTCCCCGACTTGCCGTTCTTGCTTCTCTTAGGCTCAATAAAGCCCCAAAACCTTATATAAGGCCTTCGGCCCAAAAACCCTAAAATAAGAGTCCTTAAAGCCGCAGGGCTTCTGTCTCCAGCAGGATCTGCATATTTGGCTGCTTTGTGCCAGCCAGGTTTGCGGCCGGATTGACAGAGCACCGTGTCTGAGAGATTAGTCTAAGGTTCCAAGTATGTAATTTGAGTTTGGTGTTATACAACCCTCATATGCACTACAGACAATAAGGGCCCATACTTCGGATCCCTACAAACAAGGGTAAGGGACCATACTTGGAATTAGGGTTTGGGTTTTAGTTCGGCCTTGGGGCTTGGGGTTTAGGGGGGATAGGGTTGGCTTCAGATCCCCCTCATCCCCGAAAAGACAACGCATGCAGTTCGAAAAACCCTGAAACCATCGTAAAACTCTAAAACCCTGAAACCCTAAATCCTAAAACTTACACCCGAAAACCTTAGAGCCCTAAACCTTGTACTCGCTGTGCGGTCGGGTGGCTTTGACGACTGCCTGGGGCACAGGGTTTAGGGTCTGGGCATGTCTGGGGTTTTGGGTTTTGGGGTTTAGGGTCTAGGGTTGCGGGTTTGGAGTTAAGGGCTGAGGGCCTAGGGCTTTTAACTTTAGATCATGGTTGCTGAACCTGCAGTCTGTCAGGAATCCATCAGTCTACTAATCTTATCTGCAATTTTTTTACCCCCAACAAAAATCAAAACACATTCTTTCTTACAAGGGGAATATAGGGATTATTATCTTTGAGTTTTGCTTGGGGGGGGGGGGGGGGGCGGGGCGGGGGGGGGGCGGGGGCGGGGGCGGGGGGGGGGGGGGCGGGGGCGGGGCGGGGGCGGGGGCGGGGGCGGGGGCGGGGGCGGGGGGGGGGGGGAGGGGTCCCTAAACCCTAAACCCTAAACCCTAGTTTTTCGTTTTCTAAGGGTTCTTAAGCTTGGTAACCCCGGAACCAAAATTATGACAAGGGCATCCTTTTTGGGGTTGGTTACTTTACGAAGGAACCCAGAACCAAAAAAAGGGTACAGGGTACCACTGGGCTACCAAGTAAGCAAACGGCAGTAACACCCGCAGCCTGAGAAAGGGGATCCCCCTCGGTGGCTTGGGTGCTCCCCGCTATCTCGCGGCATACCGGGCAGCCCGCCTATTGCTTGCGACACAAAGAAGAAGCCCTGAACTCTAACCCACCCCTAACCCCAAACCCCAAATTCAAAACCCAAAACCCTGAACCTCCCCCCCTATCAACCCGATATCAACCCTAAACCACCACACTCAGCCAGCTCAGAAGCCCCCCGAGAAAACTGAAAATGTAAGCCTCATGTTGCTACCTCAAACCCGCACCCCCCCTCCTACAAAAACCTGGACTAGTCCGAGCTCGCAGGGTTTAGGGTTTAGGGTTGATAAGGTTTCGGGTTGAGGGTTACAAAATCTATTTCTACTTCGAACATGATCACCGAGAAGCCTGATCGAACCCTAAACCCCAAACCCTTAACCCTAAACCCTCAACCCTAAGCCCGCTAAGCCCTAAACTCTAAACCCCAACCCTGGATACACCCTAAACCCTACAATCAGTAGCTATACCCTAATCAACCCTTACCCTCGCTCCATCATAGCCTTGCTACATCCACTGATGGACCTTAGGGCAGCCTCTTTCACCGGCCCAAAATCGTGCTGAGAAAACTGCACCCAAACGTCTGTGCTTGGTGTCTTCGAAAGAGGGAGCTCCAACAGCGGGTGATATTCGCCACTGGCGATAGCTTCATTGAGAAGGTTCAGCAGCGGGTCGAGGTTCGCATGGCGCCAATCACCGCCTGGGTCCTGTTCCACACCTTTGTACTTTTTAGGCATAAGTAGCTATAATAGGAACCCAGAACGCAAAAAAATATTAAAGTATAGTACTCCAAAACCCAGGTTGAGCTGTAGATAACGGTTGCCCATTAAAGCTGCAAGACAACAGGCGGGGCTACAGGTAAGGAATCGGTGAGCTCACTTGGGGTTGCTCAGCACAGGCACACTCCGGCCATGCTTTGGGGGGGGACACTCTGGGGTTGGGGAAACTCTGCATTTGGGCACTCCAGGGACTGTCTGGGGATACTCTGGGGTGGGATACAGGTGATGCACGAGGAGCATTTAGTTCGACCCCCACACCGAGGGTGGGGAACAAGCTAAAACCAACAAACCCAGAGCCCAATACCCCTAAACCCTAAACCCTAAACCCTAATAACCCCATACCCCTAAGTCCTAAACCCTTAACCCTCAATTTCCGGCATCCCCGAAAAGTCCGAGAACCCGGCCGCATCCAGCGCTGGCTCGGTCTTCTGGATCGAGTCCTAGGTTGCCCAGTAACCGAGGAGAAAAAGGGTTCAGGGTTGAGGGTTTAGGGTTTAGCGTTTAGGGCTTAGGGTTTAGGGTTTGGGGAACAAAAGGGAATAATGGTACTAATGGGCATTCGAGAGTCGTTCTTCTTCGGCGGCTGTCCCAGCTGATCGAAGCGCTTAGGGCCGCCTGAGGGGCAGCTTAGGGTTTTTGGGGTTCAGGATTTAGGGCTTTCGGGCTTTCGGGTTTAGGGTTTAAGGGTTCGGGTTTTGGGTTTAGGGCTAGGGTTTAGGATTTTACGGCTTTCAAAGTGCAGCTGTTGAGGGTTGAAGGGTTAGTACATCCTCCGTGCCTTGGGCATCCCACCCAAAAAACGGTGCTGGGGGCTTATGAGCTCTGCCCTGCTACCCCATAAAGCATGGTTCCCCTACTACCCCCGTCTACTACCTGGGTTCCCCCCTTCTTGTCATTCTCCCTAAATCCCCTTCATTATGGGGGGAACCTGGTGGGGGGGGCGGGGGGGGGGGGTGGGTTTATGTGACGGGGGTAGCAATAAACCCGAAACCCTCGGCCCTGAAAGTGTAGAGGGGGGTAATGGGGGAACCCATGAATGAAGCCTTAAATCCGAAACCAAAGCCCTAATAACCCGAAGCCCAAGCTGCATAAGGAGCCAGAGCGGCAACCCCAAACCTTAAACCTCAGGGTCACCCTCAGGCCTGAACCCTAAACCCTAAACCCTAAGCCCTCAACCCTAAGCTAAGCCCAAAACCCCCTATGATCCCATGAGAAATTGCTGAAGATCAAGGCGCCGGTCAAGGTGTAGTCATTGTGGACCATGCCTGAGGCCGGCCCCACTTCGGGCCAAAAACTTGTAAAGCTTATGGGGTTTAGGGCTGGGGTTTGAGGTTTAGGGCTTAGGGTTTAGGGTTTAGGGTTTGGGTTTTTTTTGAACGGCCGCAACGCGTATCCGAGAAACTTCTCGTGCTGCTTACACATGGTAGGTTGGCACGTAGGCGCGGCTGCCAAATACAGGGCATGTTCGGGGCGCTTAGCCAAGCGTTGCTTTAAATCCAGTAAGTCGGAACGCTCAGGGGGTCGGGTGGAGAGGTAGTCCCTAAAGGCTAAAAGGGCAGCTTCCGTTACAACTTCAGGGCAATACCTCTGCGGATGTCCTCTACGCAGTCCTTTAGTACGTTTAACTTTATCCTTTATACCTGGGGACAAAACTACATGGTGAAGGGGGTTCGCCGGCGGTGTAATCAAGATTTTTGCGAGCTGTTGCACTTGCCTCGAGAGAAGGGTCAGTGAGGGGACTGTTGGTCTTCCTGCTTGTTCACACACCTGTCGATTAGTTTTGCGCGAGCCATAAGAAGCCTTGATTCCGAGACACCTTCTTAAGTGTTGGTGATACCAAGCATCAATTGTCTTCAAGTGTCTCATCTCTAGCGCAGGTGTATCGAGGCCGTATAGCAGCGTGGAAACTACTACCGCGTGGTATATATGAACCTGGGTTTTGGGGCTTACTCGACTGCACCAAAACGGCTGGAGTTTGGGCTTGCGGTCAAATTAGCAGCTCAGATTTTTCCGGGCGCAATGTCATTCCATACAACGAGGCCTCGACCTGAACCATACGGAGCAGCTCTTCCATGCATGGCGGCAATGGTCTTGTTCTGGAAGCCGATCCTCTAGAGCAGCCTCATGTATGCGAATCTCTTCCAAGCCGGTATGAGACTTCTCTGCGAGCATTTGTCTGTCGCCACAAGCCAAGCTCCTTCGACAAGCTAGTGTTTCCACGCGCAAGTTGTGTGAAGATGCACCGCGCAAAGCATATTTCTAACTCACTCCTCCACAGCTCCCAATGCCTCGGCCGCTCTGTTCAAGATTTCATTCCTGTGAACTTCGACAGCGACGGTGTCATGAGCATGACATCGTTCGGAGTGTCTGGCGAGAGCACTTCTCGTGAAAGAGAAAAGTATCTTGATCTGTATAGGCTCTCTGAAAAGGAACCGGGCGAAAGCTGACACACGTGCGGTCTATGAAACGTTCGTGGACGTTCATGGAGATTGCTTCTGGTCCTCTTGGACTCTCGACACCCATCTGTAGTCTTCGTACATGCCTGGCAGATTCAGGCGGAATCGCACGCGCCCGAGCACAGCATGAATGGATCTGCAACCCGAACAGTAGTCGTCCTCACTGGGATTACCGAAAGCTTGCCCGCGGAGCAAACTATTTGGCGGAATGGTGGGAAGCTGACTTAGCTGTCCATGGCACGGAAGAAGACCCGACGGCCTCAGAGACAGTTTTGCTGGCTTGGACTGCCACAAAGATTGGAAGGTCCTGCAAGCCCTGAGCCCTATCACCCTGCAGCCGCGGAGCAAGCGCTCGCAGCGACGCAGCCGGGTGCGGCATTGCCCGCCAGAGCATTAAGGCCTCACGGAGGAGAACGCGCGCCTTTGAAGGCTTCGCATTGACGTTCAGACATCGATTGGGGTCCGTATGACTTGCTCTCACGTTCATGAAAGAGCCGCCGGAATGGTACCAAAGAGTGCAGGCTAGTGACAAGATAATACAGTTGTTACCGTGAATTCCAACGTTACAGCCTCACTCATGATGATACTGAGCCGTGTTCAGGAAGATTCAGATGTTAGGTTCTTGGCGGTGACCGCAAATTAGGATGTCACGTGTAATCACTTGGTTCATACACTTTGTTTACATCTAAAAGGCCCTTAAAAACCCTAGTTTAGTATAAGAGGGCATTTGGGTGATATTATTCTCTTCACTTCTCTTTTCGTTCAAACACTCATACTTATCTTCACGCGTTTCCTTGTAACATCCATACTAGTGTGTAGAGAACGAAACAGATGAAGAAGCGAAGCGAATAAAGACCCGCTGATACACAAGATTCGTCCATGAGCTCTCTATTTTGCACCAACAACACGGATTCGTCACTCGGTACTCATAGTATTAGTGTATTCGCGCGCGAATCCGTTTTCTCTCATTCATAATGTCAATGCCACCTCGTGGGTGAATAACTAAATGCAGTGAGCGAAATGAACGAACACGCGATGGCAGCCTCACTTGTTTCGCTCATTCCGGAAGTGTAAAAAACAGGAAATCAATTATAATCAGCGCGGTAACAGATGCTGCAAAATAATATTCGTTTCGCTCACTCACCCGCGGATTCATGATAGTAAGACACGAATGAATGAAATGAACAAAATGGAAATCAATTCTTCGCTCAGTCTTTTCTTCGCTTGTCAGTATTACATGAAGTACGTCTTTTCACGGGAGCGAATACAAATCGCTTCGGCGGTGTAGACGCTGGTCTGCTGTCCCGTGAACCTAAAACATTCACGCAAAAAGGGTCCGGATAGGACCCAAAGGTGGCGATGCACGTGCACCAGCAGCCAAATGCCGGGCTTTATTACTTAGCAAGAAGGGGGGGGGTGTAAGGTACCTTTCAAGAACTCGATGATGAGCCTGAACCCTGACGCCTACAGGGAGGAGGCTTACAAACTGTAGTAGTTCAAAAAAAGCAAAAAGCCCTAAATCCTAAACCCTAAACCCTAAACCCTCTGCTGTCGAGCATATAACCCAGCTCAGGCTGCGGGCTCCGACATCTCAACTTCAAACTCGAGGGTGCCCAAACCCTGCGTGAAGCCCTGAGCTAGTACACCCTCAACAGCCTGAATGCGGTTTAGGGTTTAGGAGTTAGGGTTTAGGGTTTAGGGTTTTGGGGTAAATGGACAGGGTCTGGAGCAGGTTGAACAACGCTAAAGCTCACCCCAAATCCAATACTAACAAACTCGAAGGCTTCACCACCTCCCCCCACCCCCCCCCAAGAAAAAACTGTCACCGAAAACTCTCATGAAAATGCAAACCCGACCAGAACCCCGGCAATAACCTTCCCAGCCCAGCCAAATACCGAACACTGAAGCCTCCAACCCCAAACCCCCCAAACCCTAAACCCAAAACCCGCAACCCCTGAACCCGACCCTAAACCCTCAACCCTAAACCAGAGGCCTAAGCCCTTACCTCCCCCTCTACCCATGCCTGCGGGTTGTTGGCACTTGGCCCCGCCCTGGCCGACGGTTTCTTATGATCTCCGAGAGTATCCATCGGAATGATAGGGCTCAGGCATCCCTAAACCCTAAACCCTAACCCCTAAACCCCAAACCCTACACCCTAGACGCTAAGCCTATAAACCCTAGACCCCCAGAGTCCATTCTGGCCCGTTGACACCCCAAGGCTCCATATGACTGCAGAAACAAAAGGGCTTAGGGTAAATAGGTTCAGGGTTTAGGGTTTAGGGTTTAGGGTTTGGGGTTTGGGGTTTAGGGTTTAGGCCTAACTGGCTGCGGGATCCAGGAAGTGGTTCAAGGGAATTGGGGTACTGCGCATCCTAGTGAGCTAGAGTGGTTTGGGTTTCGTCGGCCGGTTTTCCTGAAGTCGCGGGCTTAGGGTGCCTTGGGGTTTTAGAGGCTTAGCTAAGGGTTACTTCGGTGGGCCTTCGCCTAAACCCCGAAACCCGAAGCCCCCAAGAGTGTGGAGGCTACTTTGGAAATCAGGGCTTAGGACAAGAGAGAATTCGGCAACGAGGCTTCCGGAACCCCCTAAAACCCTAAAACCCTAAACCCTTCACCCTTATCCCTAAACCCTGAACCCTAAACCCTTAACCCTAAACCCTTATCCCTAAACCCTAAACCCTTATCCCCAAACCCTAAACCCTTATCCCTAAACCCTTATCCCTTAACCCCAAACCCCAAACCCTAAACCCTGAACCCCTGAACCCCTAAACCCAAAAAACCCAAACCCTAAACCCTAAACCCCAAAACCCTACACCCTAAACCCTAAGCCCTAAACCCTAAACCCCTTGAAGGTGCCTTGATCTCCTTGCTGGAGCTCTGGAGGCCCACGGAACGCAGGTTGTGGTCGAAGGGGACGACGTAGGTGGCGCCTTCTGCTTCGGCTAGGGTTTAGGGTTTAGGGTTTAGGGTTTAGGGTTTAGGGTTTAGGGTTTAGGGTTTAGGGTTTAGGGTTTAGGGTTTAGGGTTTAGGGTTTAGGGTTTAGTGTTTAGGGTTTAGGGTTTAGGGTTTAGGGTTTAGGGCTTAGGGCTTAGGGCTTAGGGCTTAGGGTTTAGGGTTTAGGGTTTAGGGTTAGTTTTGGGTTTTGGGTTTAGGGTCTCAGAGTTCTGAAGGGTTTAGGGTTTGGGGTTTAGGGCTTAGGGTCTCTGAGTATTAGGGGCTTGTTAGGGGTTTAGGGGATAAGAGGTTGTGGAGTCATAACCACTTCAACAACACTAATATCGAACATTGCATTGCTATCGTCATCGAACCGCATCGAACTGTATTCTATTGCTAAAAACAACATGCAGCCGATCGACACCAAACCCTAAACCCTAAATCCTGAACCCTGAACCCTGAACCCTGAACCCTGAACCCTGAACCCTAAACCCTAAACCCTAAACCCTAAACCCTAAACCCTGAACCCTAAACCCTAAGCTCTAAGCCCTGAACCCCAGCCCTCTCCGCCCAGCCAGCCCTCTCCGCCCAGCCAGCCCTCCCTCCATCCCCCCCCATCTCCCGTCCAGCTGTGAGGTCCCTGCCTACGAATAATCATCGAAACCTGCGCAATCTAAAGGATATAGAAAGAACAGAAAAAGGACAACTACATAAGAAAAGCCAAAAGCGAAAAAAAAAACATATGACAATAAATAAGAGAAAGTATGGGAAAACAAAAACAGGGGCAACAGGGGCGTGACAACAGGGGCCTGACAACAGGCGCAACAAGGCAATCGTTGCGAGCAGTGGCGGCGTTGTGGGGAGCGGGCTGGATGGAGGGGGAAAGGGGGGGGGGGGGGGGATGGAGGGATGGGTGCTTGGTTTGGGTGGGGGACTGAAAGTGGGGGGGGGGGGGGGGGGAGGGATTGGATGGAGGTTGGAGGGGGGCTTGGGTGGAGGGGGGCGGGAGTGGGAGACGGGGGGTGATGAAGGGGTGGATGGGCCTGGAGAGCTATAGCTCATCAGATGGAGGATGAGTCAGTTCTAGTATCCCCCACAAGGACACCCCCGTGTGTATGTATATGTAACCGTGCATAGTGTATACACTCATAACTGTACTAGCAACATAAACTCTAGCTCATAGAATGCTTCCAGGGTTTAGGGTTCAGGGTTAAGGGTTTAGGGAATTAGTGCATCCTGCACGGGGCGCCTGTCAAGCGCTTCACGACCTCCGCCACCTCCGCGTGGTACTTCTTGAGGATGACGTCCTGGCGTTCAGAAAAGGTAGAAGGGTTCCGAGGCTGCAATAGATGGGGGGTCTACGATAATCAGGGACCCCGAATTTAAACCTCCAAACAAAGGGATCCCCTGATACTCAGGAGCCTAATAAGGTACCCCCTAGTATCGCAAACCTAAACCCTAAACCCCAAACCCTAAACCCTAAACCCTAAACCCCCAGATGAAGAACCCTTCCCATTGCAGCAATCCTCCAGGAAGAAGTCGTCGTAAGACATGGCCGTGGTCTCCTTGTGCAGCGAAAAGCCCTGGACATCGAGTGTGAAGGGCTCCTGTGCTGAGTCGACTCAGGGTGCATAGGGGATTTGGGGGTTATGAGAATACCTATATTCCACCTGTAAGTCTCCTTAAAGAAGATCAACGTTTTGTAGGGGTTTAGTTTAGGGTCTAATTATTGGGGGTTATGAGAATACCTATATTCCACCTGTAAGTCTCTTTAAAGAAGATCAACGGTTGATAGAGGTTTAGGGTCTAATTAGCAAGGGCTCCAGTTGTAGTGTTAAGTCGATTTAGGGTTGAGGGTTTAGGGTTTCTAGGGGTGTGTCATAGGGTCGGAAGAAGTACTAACATTTTTTGCTTATGGTCCTTTACAAAGAAACTAAAACCCTGTTCAAATTATTAAGGCCCCCATATTATAGGGGTTTAGGGTTTAAGTAGCAAGGGCCAGAGGTCCTAAACCCTCAAGGCCAGGAGCGGTACAGTATGTAGGCAGAAGCGCTCACATCTGTGGTAGGTGTCGGCTGCACATTCTGTCGTGGGGTAGTTACATGGTCCCTTAATACGGGCCCTTAAATGGGAACCCTAACCCTGAACCCTAATCCCCAACCCTAAATCCTACCATTAAGGGGTCATATATCTACCCTTAGACATTCGACATCAACACAAACTCCCTAGGCCCTACCGGCAGTTCTCGGGCAGGGTTCCGTACGCAAGGCTTTAGAGTTAGAACACCCCCTCCGCCCCCCAAATAGTTCCCTAGACTACTATTGGTCACTCTTCGGAGCCCTGAAGGGATCTACTTTTGGATCCTTTCAGGGGTCTGGATGATAAACCGTGCATGCGGTAGAGAGAGGAAGTCTCAGGTCCTCGAGGCGGGCGTTGCGCACAATGGCCTGGCCAAGATCGCATAAGATCACTGCCAAGCACACTAAGCCCTTTCGGAATAAGATCACCCCAAACCTGTCTCTGTTGCTTCGAGGGGCTTGGATGAAGGACCTTGGGATCCCCCAGAATAGATCTTCTCAGACATTTGTTGGGAAAGAGTAGGGGCAGGGGGGTGCTTACAGCTAGGTGTCCCGCATGGCCTCCGTTGGAGTCCAATCGGCACCATAGATCCTCGGCATTTCAGAATGCTTCATGTCCTCACTCACAGCATGTGGGATGTTCCCCCCTTATTCTAACAGTCCTTTTCATAGGGATTAAACTAGGGGCTACTATAATCCCTGTTATGGATTAGTGGGAAACAAACACTTAAGTACACATGGCTGTATAAAGACATCCGGACGTCTCTTTGTATCCCATCGCTGGAATACACAAAAATGCGTGTGAGGTGTTCCCTGCCGACCCCCCCCCCCCCACCCCAACCCTCACTAACTAACCCCGACACGACTAGAATTCGAGCCTCAACTCAGGGATAAACAAAGCCGGTTTGGGGGAAGGCTGGGGCTAGCGGGGTGGGGGCAGAATCCAAGGTTAGGGGCCGGCGTTTTGGGGTTTTGTGTTTAGGGTGAACTGACAAAGTGCGTAGGAGCCGCCCCACGGTGCTGCAAGACTTTTTGGCAAGCTTGTCAGGGAGCCCTATCCCATGAAAGAATGGCAGAATCAGAGCTGCCGCCACGAAAGTCCAAGTAGTGCTTGTATCTCACCGCTGGAATACATAGATGGGGCTTTGGAACAAGGATGGAAACGTTCTTTTTACTAAGCCCTGAACTTCAAATTAAACCAGCCCTAAACCCAGAAACCAAAACCCACAACCATAAACAGGAACTGCAAATGCAAAACAAGCGTCTTGTCATCGCTGCCGCGCAGGTCGCGATGTGTGTAGAGCTTGCCGTTGCGGACCTCACTCATCACCACCCTTCATATTATACAGGGTTTAGGGCGTAGTGTTTACGGTGGTTCAAGGGACATGGAACCCAAGGCTCGCTGACACTCCCCACTACTCCCGAAGGCTCCCTGAGCTTCCTGAAGGTTACCCCCCATGAACCCCTTTAGGGTTTAGGGTTTAGGGTTTAGGGTTTAGGGTTTAGGGTTTAGGATTTAGGGTTTAGGGTTTAGGGTCTTAGAACTACAGGCCCGCAAAGCCCCAAACCTTCAAGGCTCTGGTTTCTGGTACCTTGAAGGTTGAGTTCCCCGTTACACTAACAGTCCTTAATGGGGATCATAATAGGGGGGGGGGGGGGTACTATCATCCCATTTAAGGATTGTTAGTATAAAGGGGGACATCCCAACCCTAAACCCTAAACCCTACACCCTAACCCCTAAACCCTAGACCCGAAATCCTATAAACTCTAAACCCTAAACCCTCCCTTAAGGGCCCTAGAATGAAAACATTCCAATGCCACAGGCTTCATGTTTGCAAGTTCCGCAAGACGCTTGAAAATGATGGGGACGTAGAACAGGAATCACAAAAAACATGGGGCTTAGCCTGCTCAAAACTAGCCGTAAACCCTATAAGCCCAGAAAACAGGAAAATCCTCAAAACCGTAACTAAAGAGACCTAAACAATCACAAAGGCCAGATTCCCCCTGAGCCCCAAACCCCAAACAGTACTACGCAAACAACTCCCCCTTTTCCCCTGAACCTTAACCTTACTGGCCCAAAACCCCATGAAATAAAAGTTGAAACTTTCAGAATAAACTACCGTATAAGAGGCCCAAAAGTTGAAAAGTTGGGTTTTGAGCCAGTGTGTAACTACCAAGAGAAACCTAGACATGAAAAAGACGCCCTTTCTTGTTCAAAGGGGCTTATGCGGGAACCTAAGCCTTAAAAAAGGCGAATAAGGTCCCTAAATCCTACACCCCTAAACCCTAAACCCCTAGACACTAAACCCCAAAGCCTACACCCTAGCCCTAAGCCCTAAACCCTAAACCCTAGCCCTAAACCCTAAACCCCTAAACCCTAAACCCTACGCCCTAAAATCTTGGAGCCCGCAGCTCTGGGCTTCGCGCAAGGGATCTCGCGACGAGGGGGCTCTGATAGTTGAAGATACCGTGGACAGACATCACCTCATGGTCCCCATGCTAGGGTTTAGGGTTTAGGGTTTAGGCTTTAGGGTTTAGGTTTTAGGGTTTAGGGTTTAGGGTTTAGGGTTTAGGGTTTAGAGTTTAGGGTTTAGGGTTTAGGGTTTAGGGTTTAGGGTTACCTGGAGGTTCAGGGTACTTAGTAACCCAATAATAACGGTAATTGCAGCCCAATTACAACCCTATTGGGGTACTTTCGGGGCTTCGAAGTGGGTTATAACTACACTTCTAATTGGTTACCAAGTACCCTGAACCTCCAAGTATGAGCTGAGGACCTCAAAGCGCGGGGCTTTATATAGGGTTCGGATTCAATAGGGTTTAGGGTTTAGGGTTTAGGGTTTAGGGTTTAGGGTTTAGGGTTTAGGGTTTAGGGTTTAGGCTTCAGGGTTTAGGAACACTGCCTGAGGTGTCTGCAGGGCTGTGACGGGGGCTAGTTAGAGGTTGGGGTCGCAGGGTTCTAGGATGTCAGAGTTTAAGATATTCTAGGGCCCTGAATTTGGGTCTCCTGCTACATAACCCTTACACACACTACACATTATAAGGGCCGAAACTTCGGATCCCTATAAACCCTTTTAAACGAGGGCAAGGAACTAAGAGCCCATGGTTCTGAGCTTAGATATTTCGGCTTCGGTTTGGGGTTTGGGGTTTGGGGTTTGGGATTTGGGGTTTGGGGTTTGGGGTTTAGGGTTTGGGGTTGTTTAGGCTTCAAGGATTTAGGGCCAGGGTAGGGTTTTGGTTTTTTAGGGGCTTCAGGCCCCTGGCTAAGGGTTTAGGGTTTAGGGTTTAGGGTTTAGGGTTTAGGGTTTAGGGTTTAGGGTTTAGGGTTTAGGGCGAACTTCGGGATGTTCTGCTTCCTTCTCTCTGAAGGGGGTACTCTACATTCGAAGCAGCCCGCACCCGCTCCAACCCACCCCCCCCCCCCCCCCCCCCCCCGTGTGGGGGTTTGGGCTAAGACTTGGGGGAACGAAAAACCAACCCTAAACCCTAAACCCTAAACCCTGAACCCTAAACCCTAAACCCTAAACCCTAAACCCTGAACCCTAAACCCTAAACCCTAAACCCTAAACCCTAAACCCTAAACCCTAAACCCAACTTCGGAGCCCTGAGCGCTGCACATCGCCCTGGAGGTTCCGCTTGATGCCCTTGGCCCCCGGTGGGCGCAGGTCCGGCCAGGCCATGGCGCGTCAGAGGGGAGCCCCTTGCGAAGTCCCCTCTAGTAGTAGCCCTAAACCCTAAACCCTAAACCCTAAACCCTAAACCCCAAGCAGTTCCGTGGGGTTTGGGCTCAAGTTGGGATTCGGAGACTTCCGAAGTCCATACCTTCAGGGTTTAGGGGGCTTTGGGGGGATTAGGGCTGTTTAGGGTTTGGGGTTTAGGGTTTAGGGTTTAGGGCTAGGGTTTAGGGTTTAGGGGTTAATGTTGGCCCCGAAGCCCTAATGAACGTAAAGCCCTGGAAGCTTCTTGTGCCATGTGTGGCTTCATCGCCGCATTGAGCAGCTGGCGAGTTTCTTTTCCGCACCTTTCTCAAGGGAGGGTTTAGGGATTAGGGATTAGGGATTAGGGATTAGGGGTTAGGGTTAGGGTTCAAGGGTGGTATGTAACCCAAGGTTGCGTAATACTCCCTGCTACTCCCTAAGGCTCCCTAAGGCTGCCTAACCTTCCCTAGGTACCGACCCACCTCCCTTAAGAACCCTGCAATTTATTGGGGAGTAGAGGCACCCTGTCTTCAGAGCTGGAAACTTTGGCTTGTTTAAGCTAAGGGTTTAGGGTTTAGGGTTTAGGGCTTAGGGCTTAGGGCTTAGGGCTTAGGGCTTAGGGCTTAGGGTTGCCTAAGAAACATCCAAGGGATTCATAACGACGACCTACACGCCCACAGAGATTAGGTTAGGGTTTCTTGGTAGCCCAGGAACCGTACTATGATAAGGGCACCCTGTTTTGGGTTGGTTATTTTATAAGGGAAACCATAAACCAACAAA